ATGTTGATATTTGATTGGAGGTCTGGTTGTAGGGCATCCCCTAGTGGATTGGGTATGAATATGGAATTTATTTCCCGAGTTATCAAACTTAAGATTTAGACATTCGGTCAATATGAGTATTGTTATTATTTTATAGTAGAGGTACCCGGTAACATTGTTAAAGCATCGATGAGTGTGTGTTTCGTGTTGGATCGGTGATAACAAATCGTGCTGAAATAATTGCCTACGCGTTGCTAGACTATAAAAATATTACATCGTTCGTCGTTAATATATTATTCGCAAACCCTGACAAGTTCGTCAACCACGAAGACTTGTTGTTGTCGTATACGATTGTACTTGGTGTTTAGTTTAAAACAGTACTTAATAATAATTTCCAATTGTTCAAACAAGTACGCCTACCGACACAGAAACTTGTCCATTACCGTTAATCGGTTATATTGAATTTCCTTTTTACATTTCAGAGACAGAGTGTATTGGCTGTGATTGATCCGTGTGTAACCGTGTATACGCCCAATTTCATTACACGTAATTTTTAGGTTCGATCAAAAAAGTCGTTCAATAGGCCTCATATTATTTGGGACAGACCACGTAAAACATATCAAATGACGAAATGTACAAATTTAGTTGAAACATTGAACGTGATACGAATGAAACATTTCCAGGATAGGTGTCGTCGCTCGGTCTCTTGAATTATTTATTGCCAATTTACGTTTTTCTAAAACTTTGTTCACCAAACATTTTTAGTGTAGCATAAATAAGCTGTAGGATTTCGAAACTCATATTTGTATTCGTCAACGTTTATTCATCAAATGTTCGGAAAACGATCAAATATAGTATAAGTCGTAATGTGGGTGACGTCGATAATTAATTTTATTAAATCGTATGAGCAAGAAGATCGAATTTATTTTTGGTGTGGATAAAATTATTTCAAATTTCGAAGGTTAAGCCTAGGAAGTTTCTTTGTATTTCACGATGGATTTTCGACGTTTGTAATGTTTATATAATTATTGCAAGCGGTGGATTTATCATAGACTAGTTTAGGGATAATACTAAGGAATAAGTGCTGAAATGATTACGAAACTGCTTATTAAGGTACATTAACCAGAATCTATATCTACTCTTACGCTTAGAATATTTTTGAAAAAAATAAAAATGCAATACGCTTCTAAGCCGAAAATAACAATGAAACAAAACTTGAAATATTATAATGATTTATTTATGAATAAGATATCATTACAACGAGGAAGGTAATTAAGAAAATTAATGCTCAACACCTTTCACACAATTATGTCCCGAAGCATTTCAATAGTATTATTATTATCCGTGTTTATAAATTATATTAGAGCGTTAATAAATTTATTTCGTAACTTTAATTTTTACTTCACTTATAAACATACTAATATTATTAACTAAAATATTAACCTCATCAATGGCTTGATTGTATTATCGACACAAGTTCAATAATAATTATTGTTTATGAGCTCGAGTTTATTGAAACCATCGAAATATTTTGAGACGTTAGCCTATATTACGACTTTTTTTTTGCAAGTTTACTGTAATATACACTTTCTTTATCTGACAATAACTCGCTTATCTTTATTCTCGTTTTATTATTGTTATACTTCCTGTTCGAAGAAGTTTTTTTTCATTTTCTTCTCTCAGGTCCCACACCGCACATAAATTTTGGTGGCAAAGTTGGGTTTCTCGCTCGTTCGACTATATGCAGACCAGATAAGTTTTATATTTAAAAGCGTATCCGCTGGTTGTAGAAGGGCGGACATTTTTTTTACCACCGCGCTCTTTTTCCTTCATTTTCCTCACAACATTTGGCTATGATCCCAAAAAATAAAATACATCACTTTACGTTGTATTCTTCATCTACACACTCATCGAAAACATCGCCCCCTCCCTCCAACACTCTCCCTCGTTATCGACATGTTCTGCACGGTGTTATCATTATAATGCGCATTATTATTATACCATCGTTGTTTTGCTGTTATTATGGCGTTTGCAGACAAGATATTACGTGCTTTGAGTCATGATGTATTCTGTTATTATATTATAGCATAGTTACAGGACAGAAAATGTGGGTAAAAAAAAAATTAAGATAATTAGTGTTTTGTTAAGTTTACGACCTACGTTGTTGGAGAATATTTTTGAAAAGAGTTCAAAACTTTTGGTGAATAAGGAGTGATTTGGGGAAGGTATATTCTTATAACTTTATCTCCTAGGTCTAAAATAGTTATTGACGGATGTTCAAGAATCGTTAATTTTTAAAGAAAAACTCGTCATTATGTTCTGCAAATAAGTATAGGATATACCGATTTGTAAATTTATACATTAAAAATGAATGGTATACTTATAATAATATTGTCATAAGGATTTTATCTATGAACATTATTATTAATATTTTGATTTCCTTAGAATTATATTTACAATAACATTTATGAATATTTTAAAGATAAAATTATTATGAAATAATAAATAAATATTTTTTAGATAATTTAGTAATTATATTTTTACTTTTCAAAAATGTTGTTTAAAAGTTTATTACTTGTTTGAATGGCAATATATGTATAAATATTTTTAGTTTAATAATCTAAAATGTCTGTAAAAATATGTTAGAAAATCAAATTTAACTCAAGATTGGCTGAATCTAAGTTTAAACGGAAAAGAAAACATTTTAATTAATCGTCTCCGGATGGGCCATATAAAGTTAACACACGAGTACTTAAAGGCTAAAGTGGAACCCCCCTAGTGTATAATTTGCGGCGTTTATCCAACAGTTAAATAGGTGATAAAAGAATGCTACAAATATAATAGAGAGCTCTGAAAATATAACATTCTATCCAATTTAGACTCAGCATAAAGTCCAAACACAAAAATTATCAACGATATGATACATTTTTTTAAAACTTATATAAATATAAATAATCTTAAGTAATCATAATATTGTAAAACTGTAACCAACTTGTACAATTTTAAACTTTTTTAATCTTAGCCGTTGATTTTTAACTGATAAGTAAAAAAAAAAATTAAATATAATTTCGAATGAATAATTATAATTAGTTATAACTTAAAAGTATTCAAATAAAATTTCAGTGGAGTGTAATTATAGAAGACAAACATTTTGTGGAGTACTTTCCCAGTGCCCTTGTTCCACTCTAATTAACTAAATGTTAAATAGATCTACTTATAATAATTAATTACTCGTTTGAAATTATTATTATCGTTTCGATTGAATATAAAGAAATATTCCGAAAAATTTAAGCACAGCTTAAGAATATGAAAATACACGAGTTAAACCCTTAAAAACAATATGGTAATAAGAATTATTTTTTTTGCAAAATTATTGTTTTAAAATGTTGGGAAATAAATATTTTCAATACTGTTAATACTTTTTGAGATAATGAGGGCTTACTGTTAATATTATGATCAACCCGCATACTTTCTATGAGACAATATTCAATTTTTTTGTGCGTAGTTATTTTCATATATTTATATTTATATTTAATTAAATATTAATTTTTTTTTAAAGCTTAAAGTTTTAAATTTTAATTGGTAGGTATTTTCTTAGTACTCGTCATTTTATTTTACTAATTATAAGTCAATGATATTCTATTTGCCAAACATCATTAGTTATTTATAATTAGGTAAAATTAGTTGTGTACAATGGAATATACACCACAATATTGCAGTTTGAGTTAAAAACGTATTTAATAAAAACGATATATTTTGTGTATTATTAATATAAGATAATAATTTATTGCATATATTATATTAAAATCAATTAGCTTAAAAATGTACTGAGTATTTACTTTGTATTATTATTTTGTCTGTATTACATCTAAATTCTATATTCTAACTGTTGAACTATAACAGTTATACAATAGGAGATAGTAAAAGAAGTAAAAAAAAATTTAATCTGTCCATTTCCTATAATCGTTTTGAATATTTATTTATTTTCAGAAATCATGGAATTTGTAAAAAAAAAAATGCCGACCCAATTAACTTTCAAAATACTCGAATTCCGAAATTTTTTTAAGATTAAATTATAATATATATGTATTGTATGAAAAATGAAAGTAAACTTCTCAAGTTTGGGAACTAGTTTTAATTTAATTTTAAAGTAATATCATATTTAGAGCCGTCGAATATTATATTTTGTTTTGTTTGTGAGTTAAAAAGCACTATTAAATGTCCTTCGTGATCTTAACTTGATCAATATCAAAAATATTCAATCTGAAGATCGATTTACATAATGTGTTTTATATTGTAGAAACTAGAAAGTGTATTTTCGTAATCATGAATGTTAAGATACATAAAATTATATCTACCCTAGGGTTCGTACTTATTGTAAATCCAAGTTTTTTATATGTGAATACATTCTTGTGATCAAACACCTTGAAGCTATGGATCCCAGGTTAGGTTTGGTTTGGTTAGGGACAATGCAAAGTACTTATTATGTTATAACTTTATAAGGAATATCAAATTCAAAAGTTGGCGTACAATACATTTATATACTGGTTTGAGCACCTAATATAGAAAACAAAGGATAAAATAATTGTGTATCATAAAATTTAATATTTTTATCATTGATAATATGTGTTTGCAACAGACTTAATATGCATTATAATCCTTTAGGTATGCACTAATACACTATAGATATTGAGTATCACGATTTTCTGCAATGGCGTTCTCAGAAAGGGGAGGTTATTGGTTATATCCTCTCCTCCACTATTTTGCCACAAATCCTTATATGTGAGTCTTCGGTACTACCACCACAATTAATTAAAGTGCATTATTACTTATACGCCCCCCCACCAAATTGAAAATTCCTGAGTACGCTACTGATACATATAAAATATGTAACGCAATTTAATATTTTCAAATCTGTAAAGGCTGAAATTTCAATACAATTTTACATAGTGCATAATAATATAACTATGAAAAATGAAAAATGAACAGACGTCCTTAGAAAGTTATATAAAGTCGCTTACCGTTCAGTATATGGACGGTGACGGCCGCTGACGCTGACGGTGATCCAACCAAGCACGTGTAGTTTCCAGAATGCGTTTTCTGTACATGTTTGATTTTCAGAGTGGACACGATTGTCGTATAACTAGAATCATTGCTGGTCCTGCGTGGGATACAAAACAAATTCCATATTATACGAGTGGACAGTAAAAACGGAAACAGACAAAAGATACGCATAACCTGCGGTGGCGCACAAAAAATCACTGTGGTCAGTATCAAATTTTAATAGCGCTCTACCTACCACCTACCACTTGTTGTACGGGGGGAAACTCAGATAATTTACTGTGGCATAATTGGGTTTAGGGATCGGCGCCACTCCGAACAATGTCTGTGGCTAAGACAATACTGCAAACCACGATACTTGAGCATAATATTAGTATCGTGACAGGATGAATTCATTGATATATTATGTACAGCGGAACCTCCGATAAGTTGAAATTTAATGGAAATGCAATTTTTTAAACCTATTGAGGTTTTTGACTTACTAAATGTTCGAATATCAAGGTCTTACGAAAAAAATTGGAGATTCTTTAAAATGTATGTACGTATTAAAGTTTTTCATTATTATAATATAGTATGTAGGTACGTATAATTACAGTGCGTATTGTTGTTAATATTATTTTTAAGTTTTTAGTAAAAAATTAAGATAAAAGTATTATTAAATTATCAATATAAATCAAAAATCCAATGTACTGACAATAAACCGTATGAAAAATACGATAAAAAAACGCGATTAGGTTAAATTACTGGAACGCACAAGCCGATTAGACAAATTACATAATTATATTCACCTATATTTGGAGCACAGAATGTTCGAGTTATCTACAGTTTTTCTTCAAGTAGTCGAGGTTTTCGCAAGGGAACAGCTTTAATTTCCACTTATCAAGGTTTTCGACTTATCGAAGTTCCGATGTATTGTAATATAATATGACTGCGGAAATGATAAGTGCACTAAAGCTTCCAAAGGCGTTTGTAATATTTTATAGTACGTAAATTAGAAAAATACAAATAGAACGATATATTTTATCTTTTGAGCTATCGGCATGGTTTTTATAATTCGCAATTATTATTGAATAGTGAGATTTTCTTAAATCAGACACTACTTAAGAAATTCCCGAGCATTATGCCAACAATTGCAAATTATAATAACAATTTTTGTAGTTCATATATATTTTATTATTTAAAGATGATTTGATGTAAATAATTATAAATAAGTTTTCAATTTTTATTGTAGTGTTAATTCGTTATGAAAGTAATATGAAAATCGGACTGGGGGACACACGTATTACACATATGTGAATTTCAGTTGACTCATCTATAGTGCATAATGTATTTAGATATATTAAAGGTTAAAACAAAAACAAACAAAAGTCAACAGCTTTTTAGTATTCGATAAAGAACATAAGAATAGAAAGAGGTGGTATCCAAAGGAAGAAATAGTCCATTTAGAAAATTGGATTTGCCGGAAGTGGATGGTTTTCTTGTATTATCTTAGTCATATTATTTTTTTCCCATTCACATTACAGAGAGAGAGGGAGAGAGATATAAAGCGTATGTATGTATTAAAGAAAAACCGGAAATAACCGTGAGATCTCACACGGACGTTTTACCGGAAGTCAGCAGTTTGCACAGGCCCTTGTCGTCTGAATAGTAGGCGTTCATATAGTATTTGATTAACGCTGTTCCGGCAGTCAACGAGTTTTAACTCTGTTTTTACGACCATCGAAAGCTCAAATGTAAATCCATTACTAAGGTACCACTTAATTAAAGGGACCTATTTATTTTCAAATAATACCAGTTGCTTTTTATTAATCCAAACAGTAATTTTAAACGAATTATATGATGTGACAGTACATTTTTAATGTTTTAATTTGATACAATATTGTAAGTGCTGTCCAAAACTGTCACAGACATTAAACGAATGTTATATAACATTTCCAACGTTGCATTAAAATCTATACATTTATTTGCAAACCGTTTATATATTTATAACGGTATAATTATTTGTTCTTACTGAACGATTTTTTTTCTTTTATAGCAATATTTATTTTGCAATTGTTTCACTCAAACACACAATTTAAACAGTATACATTATTTCATTGATTTCATGGCATTCTAAAATATTATATTTGTTACCTACCTAAATTATTACTAATTATTATTGAAGGTGTGCTGATGATTGTGCAGTGTGCTAAGTGCTTATTAAAGTTTCACAATGTGCGTTATACCCTATAATATAAGTTAGATCACAATAATTCGAGTGCACCGTTGAAAGTGTTATTTATTATGCAAAAATATCGGAGCCCTTGTATTACCTTATAATGTTCAATTGTGATAAAGTATGTCTGATGCCACAACAATTGAAATAATAATAAAAACAAAGTCAAATACAATTTTATAAAGATTAATGCTGATTGCTGTCTAATGTTCCAAATTTATCTTAAACTTGGGTGTAAAGTGTATTGTTATTTAAAGATAATAATTAATATTTTGTAAATACACAATACTTTTGACTTTAAAAATGATGCATATTTTATGTAAATAACAAAAAGATTAATTTGAAAATAAAATAAATATATTTACACAAACTTCATAAAGTGGTTGTATTTTAAATGCAACTTAAGGATAAAAGAAGCTAAAATTAAAAATTATACTAGACTACGTGAAATCTATAATGATGGTTATTTAAAATAGCATAATATTCAAAAACTTGTTTCTTATCCAAGCATTTCTCATAGGTTTTATAAAAATGAAGAATTTTTAATTTCAAATCATTTTCAATATTATAACATGCATGTACACGTGACAATAAAAATGTAATCATTATAATATCATTATTATGTATCAATACGATCTAAAATAAAATTGTTCTATATTGTGTTTAAGATAAACATTTTACATTATACATAATACTAAATTTACTTCTGACTCGACAGGTTGAAATATTAAAATCATAGACCTTTTTTCATGTTTCGTTCGGAACTAATTAATTCATATTAAAATATTATACACTTATAGTTTAGGTAATTTATCACATTTGCTTTGGTTCGTAAATTAAAAAAAAACACAATATCGAAAACTGCCGTGAACAGATTGGAAAATAGCTAGTGAATAACGATCATGAAACCAACTTACCTCTCGGTGATTCCGGTAGAAATCGTTTGTCTTCCTCTGTACCACGACACTTTGGATCCGTTGTTGCTACCAGCGTGCACGACTTTGCACACGATCTCCAGAGTGCTACCGGTCTTGTAGAAAACGTCACTACTGCCTCTGGTCACGTCACCGGTACCGGTTACCGACATGCGGACCGTGGGCACTGTGGACAGACATAAAAATAATAAAAAATACGGCAGCTGCTGGTGATTTTTTCAGCAAGATGACCCTCATTTTTTCCCTATATAGTGCATTTGTTTAAATTCTGATTTTTAGAATTCTTAAATAGACCTAAAGACCATATTTTCAAAATTCTGATATTTTTTGTACTACTTAAGCAGTATCTTGGGGCGATACAAACTTCTATTTTTCAAATGAGAACCCCCTTTTAAAAATTATGTAGCGGATAATTTTTTCAAATATGTTGATGTAGTATTTAAATCAAAATTCTAATGAGTATTTTCTGAATTATGAAAATGTTTATATAAAGGACAATAATCCTACAAAAATTATATGTTATGTTAGATGCAGTATTTATTATGCATACTTTGAAAATGTTTACAAATTATTGATATTAATAAATCAATAGTAACTGCCAACTTTTTCAGATCGTCTAGGCCCCCTATCTACTTAACCCATTACCATAGACATATTATTCTTAAAATACAAAGTTATATAAACAAAAACTACTAGCTTCAATTTTGATTTAGATACATCAAAATTCTCAATAAAAAAAAATCTGCTTAATAATTAAACATGAAATAGGGAGGTCCCTATTTAAAACACCGAAGTTTGTATTGTAACAGGATCATCCTTAAGAGGTACAAAAATGTCTATGATTCGAAAATGGTCTTCAAGAGAATTTGAAAACTCTAAAAATCTGATTTTTTATTTATGCATAGTTTAAGCATGAAAATAGCATGAACATGATCCTTAAAAAAATGTCTCTATTTAGTAATCGACGAGGAGCTGCAGTAATATCGTTATCGGCTGCCGGAAGTTAGTTGTGAAGACAACAGATGCGATCCCTCGATGCAGGATTGTGGAATAAGTACAATATTGTCGATATCGGTGTTTTTTTTTTTTAATTACGCGTAGTTGTGTATCCTTTGCACGGACTTCAAATCGGGGCATCAAGTCATTGCGAGTGGGTGACCGGAGTAAATTCTGTAGCGGTATCCTGGTTAAACTTGAAAACCGTGTTTGCCGAAACGCTTTAAGCGCGTACAACAGCATATGTTAACAGAAAAGGGTACACATACCGGGTGGACGGTATATGCATATGTATATGTAGAGAATAAGCCTTTATTGGATCTCGGTGGAGGCGGCCGTTTCCAAACGACTGGTTTGGGAATATCCTAGGAGGTCACTCGTTTCCCGCACAAACGAGACCCTAGGGGAAACGAAAGGACCAAATTTAATACGCGCCTCTGGAATTATGTGTATGTATATTATATACACACACACACACATATATATATATTCTGTTTCAATTGGCGGCACCATAACCTTTTGTCATAACCTTGAAATATGCAACCATCGTTGTAACCGTACCGAACATAAAGAAATACGTTTTAATTAAAACAAAAAAGACTAAACAAATCGTACGCCTCCATGAGGTTATGAGTTGGTAAACAAAGTACAGTACACCTATCTAGGTATATATATATATATTATAATAGTTTATGGAATATTGCACTCGCATCGCTGTTTGTTTTTTATGAGTGGATTATATATTCACTAAAAAAACATATTATTATGTTTAAACAAATTATTTCCGGTATTAGAAACTTTTTTTCCGTAACTCGAAAATACGAAATGATATAATATATATTTTAAAATGTATAATTATGTATTCTTTCTTAATTATTTTACACTTCCGAGTAAATTTATGAACAGTGAAATAAATGTCACTTGATATTTTGATGATTTTTTTTTTAAACAAGATGTTATCTATACAATATTTAAAAAAAATTGATATTTGATATACTACGGAGAAAAACGGTGCATACTAGTTGCCTCCAAAAAATATATTAATTGCATTCATAAACGAAATGGTCAATATACCCTAGTTGCCTCTCATGATCAGATAGCTCATAATATTATTACATACGAGTTTTTACCAAAAATATTCATACTAGTTTCCTCCTATAAAGAGTTAAGTAGATTACCATAAACTTCACTAATATACATCACGTAAGTAGGTAAATTTATGAATACATACATTTGTTATAATTATAAAAATTAAGTTTACAGCAACATATACATAATAATTTAATATAATATAATAATGAACACTAGTCCTATATAGGCACCTATATAGACATTTTTATATTTTATTGTAGTAAATATATTGGTTTTACCTTTTTAAAGGAGAACTTCGTACTAAAATAGTTGAGTATAATGTGATTGTAATACATTTTTTTAGATATTTTGAAATATATATCTAGCACGATTAAAAAAACGTCAGTCTTAGCCCTTAGATAAGTATTATAAACATTCATTATGTATACAATTTACAGCAATTAAAAACTATAATTTATAAACTTTTTTATTTATTTAAATTAAGGCTTCAACAGCAAAGGTTATTAGATAAAGTAATGTAATTATTCGATAAAAAAAGGTGATCTCATTATTAGTTTCAGACGTTTCAGTTCATTATTATGATTAGATAAGGATGCTATTAGATATTTTATATTTACGAGCCAATAGGCATTTGTAGATTAAATTATCAATTGATTGTAAAATTTGTTATTTTTTTTGAATGAATATTAAGTTAAGTATACAGTAATTGAAGAAAAATATGATAATATAATATATATGCCTAGAAAAAATATGTTGAAATAAAAAAAATTATATTCACATGGCATACAGTTGGAAAATAAATCTATTAATTGAAAATAAAATAATTTATTTTTATATGAAGATATAAAATAATATAATCGTTTATTCCTTATCTAAAGAGGAAAAAGTTAAATATGCATTTTAGGATACATTTGAGTAATGGCATTAAAGGATCAAATATTATCACGTTGAAATGTTTCTCTGACCTATTTGACTTAACGACAAGATTTTAATTTTTAAAAAGACAATTTTTATTTTTCATAGTTTATGCTGAGTTTTATGAATAATTCGTATTATGTTAAGTAACCAAAAGTATATTATAAATATATCTGAAGCTTTCAAGGTTTAACGAAAGGTAAAAATAATAATAATTCTCTTCGTCAGTTAAAATCAGCATCCACTGCACCTCTTACATTAAAATTTAAACGGTAGCAGCTCGTGAACCATTTGTTTAATAATACAATTTGATATTCAAAAAGTTTTATGTAAAAATATTTAATGGTAATTTTTTACCAATACATAAGAATAATTAATTTCAAACAAAACAGATCTTTTTTGTAACAATATTTTAATATTTCTTTTTTATAATTTTAAAAGAAAATCAAATATGTTAATATAATTTATAAATAATTCCATGTTAGACATAATAAAATATAATATCACATTTAACGAAAAGTACTTGACTTTTTTTGTGCATCACTTTATTATAATATTATGAATGTAAACAGGAAATTAAATATGGTTAAAATATTAACCACGTTGTTGTTTTTAATAATGAAAACCTCAAGAATATTACCTTGAAATATTATGGGTTTTTAATTGGTTTTACTTTATGTGTGAAAAGTGGTTTTAATTTGTTTCTTTTTTTTTTTTGAATAGTGTTTGTTATTAAGTTTATGAAGTTTATATTCGTTAAATAAACGACACTAAAACACAGTACCATATTTGATAGAGTTAAAGGAGAATGAAATCATGAAGTTTGGTATAATAATGCAATTTAGTCAATCAGAGAGTAAAGGCTAAAGTAATATAAGGAGCGGTGAAACATGAATAATTCATCATTGAACGCTTCGAACAAAATTATATAAGTTAAATAATACTTGATAAGAAACATTTCGTGCAATTTATTTACAGTAAGTTGATTTCTTTCTTTTATCAAGAAATATACTATTACAGAAGAATTTATTTCTTTATAAGCGTCAATAGACCTATGTAAATTTTTGATTTTCTCGTGTGTAAAGATTCTATGTTTTGTAATTACTTGGTAACATTAAACGTCGACGAAACAAACAGAAACACTTAATTGTCATAATTATCAGTGAATTTTCATTGAATTATATGTTACTTAAACATCACAAAATACGAAACGAGATTCGATAAACTTTTTTATAGCGTGAATGAAGATATTTTATACTAAGATTGCAATTATGTGAATATTATTCACAACAATTGGTGTGTAAAAAACATTGCAAACATGTGTTGTACTATTGTGTATTGATTAAAATGAATAAAATTATGTTTAAAAAGAATATCAGCCACCTATTATATTGCTGGAACACTTGAAACTTTCAAAAGAATCTAACACAAATTGTATGATTAAGGACGGATAACTCGGGATATAAATAAACAATTTATAAATTAACTCGTATAGAAAAATATACAAAATTATACCTTTCAATATAAAAATATTACACTCAATATTTCAATTTGTCTTGGCATGTACCTAACCAGTTTATAGAGACCATCTGTTTGCATGGATCAGTGATTCTCAAAATTTTTGAAGTGATGACCTTTCAAACTAGATATTTAATTTTATTACAACAATTAAAAATACATTTCTTGTTTAAGCGCTGAGGTTATAATAATTGTTGTTCAGTGTTGATGAGTGGTAAGTGGTAACCTTAAGTAATTAGTTGATGATTTCTAATGGGAATCATGACTCCTCAGGTTGAGAATTCCTGATATAGATGGAAATGGTTGGGCTTATATTCAAAGGTTCTACATGTCCACACCTACAATAGTTAAAATAATACCATAGTCCCATAGGCTATAATAATTAAATACAAAAAACTTAATGTATCAAATAATCGACAAGCAAATAAATGCAAAAAAGGCACGTGTTCATAATTTGTAGAAAATCTAATCTTTACAGATTTGTGTTTAGGTTCGACAAATAAATCATTTTGTGCAAAAGATGGCACATGTCCAAGGGCCTAACAACATTGCATGGCATGCAATTAAATACAATTTCATAAAATCTTTTCAAAATCTTATGTTTATTTAATCTATAATTTCTATATGATGTGAATTTGATGTCCC